GTGGGCACACTTGAAGAAAGAAAGCATGGCAAAAGGACCAATTGGTGTGGGTGGGGTGATTATGCATTTGTAACAAAGTTTGGGTATACAGATAACTCTCATATACCCGACTATTGTTTGATGAATATAGCTTGGTTAAGCCACTCAGGGTGCACATCGTTTTCTCACACGGTGTATGGTGATGATCATCCAAGAAATGTGGACAATTGGCTCATACACCCCAAACCTATAAGACACTTCCCCATGCCTAACCCGGACCTCCAACTATTGTACAACGTAGACGTACCCCACTACCTATTCCCACACGCCCTTCCACCACATCTACAAGAACCTCAAGCCGAAAACCATCCTGACAACCAACCCAACGGAGCACCCGAAGCCGACCATCATAACTTCGAAGCCATGCATGAGCACCTTCCTGAAGATCCCCAAGGCCCTCCACCTCCCGATTATTTCCGACAACTACTTGATGGGTTCAACAAGGTGACCGATGAAGTTGAACGGTACAGGGAGGAACAAAAGGCAGGATTTTAAAGGCTAGAAGAGCAACGGGCAGAGGATAACCGGAGATACGAGAAAGATCAACGTAGGTTCTATGGACCTATGTATTCCTACATGGCTCATCAAGCCTCATTCCATACCATGACTCACTCACCTCCACCCACCTCTTGGTATGATCCCACTCATTGGGGCAATTTTGGAGGATCTAGCTTCGGGGGTGGAGGGTATGATGGAGGAGATGGCGGAAATGGCAGGGATACACACATGGGAGATGGCAGCTTTGGAGGTAGCTTTGGAGGAGGCTACTATGGCGGTGCGGATGGGCACTAGGGACAGTGCTTGGAATGGGAAGGGGGGAGACTCCTCATGGTATGTAATTTTATTTTCTACCTTTCACTACGCATGAATTTCTTTTACCCTTGGTAAACAAAACAAAAAAAGAGAAAAAGAAATGCTAGTTAGGTTGAAAACCCAAAAAAATGGGCAATCTAAGCAAAAAGAGCTTATAAAAAATGAGTAAGTTGGGGAGAATGGAAAATAAAAAGAGATGCTAGGATGAAAACCTGAAAAGGCTCTTAGGCAAAATGAGAGATGAGAGAAATATTTGTTTTTGCAGGACCTCATTTGATCTCTTTGGGGAAGAGGAGGGAAGAAGAAGAAGAGAAAGAGGAAAGAAGATTGAGCATAGAAGACCGAAAACCCAAGAAGAATGTTATCTTTGTAAAAACATTTATGATTCCTTGGTGGTTTTTATGTTCTTTCTTTCTTGAACTCATGGAAAACTCTTAGACTATTTGGAGCATTTTACTTTACTCGAGGTCGAGTAAAGAACTATGTGTGGGGGAGTTTATATGTTTGTAAATTCCATGTTTATGTTTGTATTTTTAATTAGCTTTGATTGATTTCTACCTTGGAAATTACACACTTTTGGTGTAATAGTTTAGTTTGTTAAATACTTGTAAAATGTTTAGATTAGGTTTATTCTGAGCTCAAACAGGTCTATGATCACTCAAAGGACAGTTGGTGAACCCCAAAAGTGGAAGGAAGGTGCAAAATCACAAGACAAAATGAAGATCCTGATTTTTGGTCTATACCCGATCGGGTATGACCTATACCTGATCGGGTATCTTGTTGAAATTTCAAATCGGATCGGATCTGAAGACAAAGGAACATGCAGGGAAGATTTTGACCACGATCGAGTGTCTATACCCGATCGGGTACACCGACACACCCGATCGGGTATGTCTTCGATTTTAACCCCTAATTCGATCGAGTATACCTCGAATCTGACGTTTTACACATACCGATCGGGTACCCGAACTGCATTCCCAAAATCCTATAAATACACCCCCTTCCCTTCACAATTAGGCACCAATTCCTTTATACTTCTTAGCTCAGTCTAGATTAGTTCTTTCTTTATATTTTTTATCATGTTTAGTCTCCAAATGAGGAGTTAAACTCTTCCATCTTGGTTTTGATACTTTGAAGCTTAATGAATTGTAAGTTGTGAGTTATTTTCTTTAATTTTCTTCCTTGAAGATTAATTATTAGTTCTTTCCTTAATACTATCTCTATATTAATGTTGGGAAGTGTTGATAAGATGACAATTAGTTAACATCTTGACATTAATGTTGGGGAGTGTTGCTAAGATGACAATTAGTCAACATCTTGACATTAATTATAGTAGGATTCATCTTCTTTAATAATATTCTTCCTTGAATATTAATTAATTCCTATTCATATTTCATATTAATATTTTGAGCATTACTTAAAGGATCAACTAGTTTTGTTTCATATATTAATTATTACTAGAATCAATCGATTAATACGCTTGTTATTAATTCGGTTCTTTCAACGGTAGTAAACTTGGATTATTAATGCATGCGTCTCATGGTTAATAATCTAAGGGGAATTAATTATATTGATTAAACCAATAAACCGCTTGTGTTGAAGTTATCAATCTCAATCGTTTTCATCTCAAGTTTATTGCTACTATCGGGTTAATGTACGGCGCGTGTTCTATATTGACTCGGTAGTAAGTTTTATTCATGAACGTGTCTCGTTATTAATAATTACCCTCGATGAAATGGAGATACTCCTCGATTGAGTATTCAAGAAGAAGATAGTTAAAGATATAACCGGGATCGACAAACATTTCATTAAGTGGATAAAAGCAAAACCAAGTCTTCATCTCTAATTAATTAAACCACGTTAATAAAACTAAGTCGTTGAACTTAGTGTTTAAATATACTTCAAGTTCAACAACAATCAAAACCCCCCCATTGTTACTAGTATTTAATTAAAAAAGAAAAGTATTTCTTTCCCTGTGGATACGAACATTACTTCACTATACTACGTACTAGTGTTGTATTGTAATAATTATTTTGAATGCACACCATGACAAAGTGCACGTCACGACTCAATCCCCTTATGTTGCCACCACTCATGGCCGTGCTGTTAGCCCCACTTGGTCGTGAAAAATTGCCAGAACGTGATTCCGTATTGTATGATTGGCTTTCCCGGCCTCCTTTCTAAAAGGAAAGGTTGTCTTCAATATCTCTGGTCAATTCCATTGCTATCTCCAGACTGTTTGGCCACAGCAACCGTAGGGACTCCTGAATCGGCCCTTTCAGGAGATGCCTGAGATAATGAGCATCGAACAACCATGGAATCTGACTTGCCAGTTGAACAAAAACTATTTCCCTTAAACTGTGACTCAAATCGAGCCACCAACGCCTATGTAAGCTCATCCCATGACATGCCCGACTTCCGTGTCTGTAACCAGATCAACCAGTACGGGGCTGACCCTTCCATCGCGACCACAGCGAGTGCCACCTTTCCCAGCAGAGTACAGTTTGAAGTGTTGCTCACCCCTGGCAATCCAGCCGATCGGGTCTTCTCCGTCAAACGAGAGCAACATCGTGAGAGAGGTGATGCGCAGTCCAATTCCGCACACGGATACCACTGCCGCATCGGGTGAAGCCACTGCCAATGAATGCTCCTCCGCCGCTGGAGGCACGAGAGCCTTCGTGAGCGACGCCAAGGAGGCTGCGATCTCCGCCAGTTGGATTCCTTGCGCGTCCAGCTTTGCTCCCTGCGCGTCCAGTTTCCGGTTCATCAAGGCCTGTTCAACCTCCACCTCTGACAAATGTTCAATGGTTGACCTCTTCATTCCAGCGGGAACAGGATCCGGCAGGTCGGATCAATTGATCATTATCGCAAATTAATAATCAACGGAATAATCCATTGCCCAAAGCCAATAGGCTGAAATCCAATTTAATCCAATTTTATTACCAGATAAGCAAGAATGAACCCTAACAAGGGGTTTAAATACTCATCTACTAATTCCCAAACTAGGAAACAAAATCATAGAAATCCTAATCAACTCTAAATAGAAAACAGAATAATAGACATCCTAATTAACTCCAAATAGGAAACAAATAATAGAAATCTTAATTTACTCCAAATATGAAACAAATAATAGAAATCCTAATAAACTCCAAATAGGAATCAAGTCAGGAAAATTAAAAATAAAAATAATTAAACGGCCCACAATCAGCCCACGAAGGTGGGGGCTGAAGTCCGTCCCTGACTTCAGTGAACCCACTGGGGCCTCTGCCTCTCTTCCTCCCAGCCAAGCTCCTGCTCTCTATTGGTTTTTTTTGTCTACTACTGATCTCTATTTGTTGGGTTTATACTAGAAATGACTATTAATAGTTAGATAATGTATGCCTAAATTTTCTATATAGTGTTTTTGTCTATATGTAGAGATTTGAAAGAGAGGGTCATTTATTTGTAACCATCTAAACCTTAGTAGGAGCTAAGATGGTTAAAAAAATGTGTGATTTAAATTAAATAAACATATACAAATAGTTGTGTTCCAGTACAAACTAAGAAATAACGATAAATATAGCAAATCAACCATCGCCTTATAGTTGAAAGATGTCAAGGTTTAGTGCAGTAAATAGATTCCTATATGGGGTTGCCTACAATATTAAATACTTCTCAACGCTCCCCTTGAAGTTGCAAGGAGGTCACACATTACTCCCTAGTGGCGAAGCTCACACATTAGTGGTCTGAGGAAGGGGATCATCGTCATCATTTATCGCAGTGCCTCAAAGGCTCCCACCTACGGTGGGGTAAGGGGGGTCGGATGTACGTAGTCTTACCCTTGTACTAAAGCAAAGAGATGCTGTTTCCGAATGACCCATAGTGAAAATCGCGTCCAAAATTGCATGGACTGACTACTGCTTCATAACAACGCAGACAGTTTAGTGAGTCATTTTGCTTTATTCTCAAGCCAAAAAATAGTGAATCTTCGGCTCCATTGCAAGGAGATATTTTTCCCTTTCTTTTTGCAAGGAGATCAATTCGAACCTCAGACCTCCAGGACACAAGGCGCAAGACTCCAGCAGTTACACCACGCCCTTCTAACAAATATTTGTATTTTACTTGTTCTAAAATACATCATAAACTTTTACTATATGCCGTATGTATACCTCATGTGAGAACAAGCCTCCAACGGCAGATAAACCAAGGAGCACGTCAGGCTTCACTTGGCGAACCTAATTCAATTGCACCAAATTAAACTCATAGAATCAGCACGAGGCTGGATAAAATATGTGAGCAACAGTAACAGATTAAGCAACATGTTTGGTAGTTCAAAATGTTCTCAAAAGTTCTATCATGGCTACAAAAAAGCAGTCAGCAATCCATATTTTCCTCATTTTCTGTAGGTCATATTATTATGAAGTCAGTACCTGGTTGGTTATGAATCATGGAATCAATGTTTATTGAAAAAAATGGTAAAACTCAATCAACAGTTATCCACACCTACGTATTCAAATCATATAAACCAAATCTTGCAAGAACCTTAGTAAGATGCTAAAGAAAAATGATGTGTGTAATACCCAAACCTAAATAATTGAGCATCATTGGAAATGGTGAAAATTTGTAGATGTGCCCCTTCCATATTTATGAAAAGTTAAAATAGTGATTAGCAAATTACCACTTCTGCAAGACTAGCGCCTTCCCTCAATCCTTGACGTTGAGTTTCATTAACCTTCCTCGAAAATGGGCGGGCATCTTCATCAACATTTTCCCGCGCCTCAGTTATCAATCCCTATATTCACATTAAAACCTACATCAGCATTTTTTGTGAGAACAAAAACCAATCTTTCACCATATCGAACAGTAAAAAACAGCACAATCTATTAATCGCACTACCATCACAGCCCCTAATCCCGACACAGGAGGATATAACGTCAGTAGATATACTTACATTGGCATCAACTACCCAAAACTGGCTCCTCGCACTTTCAAATGCAACTTTATTATTTCCTAACATTCTTGCCATTGTTTTCCTGGCAGCATTTAGAACACCTATTCCTGCACTGTACGGTCAAAAGATAAATCAGAACAATCACGACACATTCTTCTTGGTAATAAGTTAGAACCTTCTAATTCCAGCTTAAAACTCTGAGATTCATTCACTTTTATAACAGAATAGCCTCAAAACAAAGCATAAGGTGTGGGGGTGGGGGGCTTTTATATATCCCACTAGGAACAGACAACCAACAACACATAACAAGAAATGATTGGGTTGGGGAGGGGAAAAATGATATCAAAATTTATGAACAGAATTGATGTTCCCCCCAAAATCAACATGTTAACCGTATCACTACAATTTTTCCAACATACTAATTCAGGTGTTCATTACTCAAAGTTTCTTGCGCATGATCTTTTAACTGCAAATTTAGCACCAATCCAGCAATATAAAGTGAACACTGCACAGAGCTCTGGTAGAGATTGCGTTCACTAAATAATATTCCAAAAGAGTAAAATGCATAATTGGTCCTTGAACTATCATCACCATATCGTTTTGGTCCTCGAACTACTAAATCTATCATTTTAGTCCTTAATCTATTTCATCTATATTAATCGAGTCCTTCCGTTAAATTTGCCGTTAACTTTGACGGAAGCTAATTAATTTATTAACATCTCATAATTCTAAACATTTTGGAACAATACAATCATTCTTAAAATTTAAGTAGCTAATTTAGTTTTTTTAAAATATACATATATGTACACATACACATATAAAAATTATAAATAAATAATATAAAATCAAATGTACAGCCTAAATAATACGTAGTATATAAGAGAGAATCAAATAATAAGTTATATACAAATGAGCAGATAAAATTAAACAAGAAAACGAGGGTGATTGTGATTATTGTTAATTATTTTTTTTTTGCAATGTATTGTTAATTATATTAAGAAAAAAATTAAAACTAGGTATGACTAAAACTCATCCACTTTCTCAATACATGACCTCATTAGTTCTCCCCCCCCCCCCCCCCCCAAAAAAATACTCCGTATTTAAATTCATAATATTTAATAAAATAAATAAATAAATTTTATGGATTAATTTTCCCTTACATTTTTTTACCAGAATATACTCTTAGATTGATATTATAAAACTCTAACTTCCTACTCATTTCCTAAAAACCAAATCACCGCAGCACCTGATTCCCACATCGCCGCGACACACACCTCCCCCGTCGTCACGGCCATCCCCATGCACCGGCGTCGTCTTCATAAAGTAAAATTGATATAGAACCACACAAGTGAGAGTTGAGAGCTTGTTTCTCTCACTAGAACTTTTCTAGTTTGCTCTACTTCTTTCCGGCGCCGCCAAAAAGTGTAAGGGCAAATTAGTCCATAAAATTTATTTAGTTATTTATTAAATTTTACGAATTTAAATTCGGAGTATTGTTTTTTTTTTGCGGGGGGACTAATGAGGTCATGTATTGAGAAAATAGATGAGTTTTAGTCATACCTAGTTTTAATTTTTTCTTAATATAATTAATAATAATAACAATCACCCTCATTTTCTTATTTAATTTTATCTGCTCATATGTATATAATTGATTATTTGATTCTCTCTTATATACTACGTACGAAGAATTATTTAGGCTGTACATTTGATTTTATATTATTTATTTAGAATTTTTATATGTGTATGTGTACATTAATCATATTTGTATATTTAAAAAACTAGATTAGCTACTTAAATTTTAAGAATGATTGTACTAGAATGATTGTACTGTTCCAAAATGTTTAAAATTATGAGATGTTAATAAATTAATTAGCTTCCGTCAAAGTTAACGGCAAATTTAACGGAAGGACTCGATTAATATAGATGAAATAGATTAAGGACTAAAATGATAGATTTAATAGTTCGAGGACCAAAACGATACGGTGATGATAGTTCAAGGACTATTTATGCATTTTACTCGATCCAAAAAGATCTTGAATCGTAAAAGAATTTAACCAGAACCAAATATCAAATAATCATTCCCCAGCAGACCCATCACATGAAAATGCTTGGCATGTGCATGTATTAAGGTGTTTACAATGGATTTATAACCTGCAGTTGGACTTCCAAAAAAAATGATCCAAAGAAAAGAGATAAATACCAACCTTCCAGCACCAGCAACCACAATCTTCATTTTCGGAAAATCAATCATTGCCTTTCCCTGTGCTCTTACTGCTCCTAAAAGACCGGCAATTGCAACTCCAGCTGTTCCCTAGATAGTAAAGATAAACCACATTTGTGACAAGAACATGTCTACAGTCTAATAATGAAAGTCATAAGATTATGGAATTCCACTTTTAAATTTACAAATAAAAGCTCATAGAAAATATCTACTGTATAATATCAACAATTCAACATATCCATAAAAGATTGCAATCCATACTTAAATTATTGGGTACAAAGGAAGGGAGGAATCCATATTTTAATGACATAACAAGGAAAGCTATTAACAACATCCAAAGAAATATGACTCTTATTACTCCCTTACTTCATATTGTTCTATAACACAACTTCTGATAAGTTTCTATATGTTATAGTACCTGCACATCATCATTAAACATTCTGTAGTTGTTCCTATAACGTTGCAGTAGCTTAAAGGCCCACTTGCTTTGGAAATCTTCAAACTGGATGTGATAGAAATGCATACATTAGTCTTTTAAGAAGTTCGTGATTATGGAAATAGAGACAGATTGAGAAAGAGAAGGTACACCTGTACAATCACATTTGGCCAACGTGTAAATACAGCCTCCATAAATTCATCGATTACTTCAAGATACCTATCCCCATCCAAACGCTGCTCTTGCAATCCTAGATCTATATGCAAAGTAGGGGGAAAAGTTATTTTTAGTAAATGTAATGGGCAGATATCTGCATCCCAAGTGGTTTAATCAACATAAGGACAAAACGATGGGAAATTCTTACACAAAGGATCCTTCAGAAGATTCTTGTTGTCAGTTCCAACATCTATCATCACAGGCAAGACCTAATAAAAGAAATTGTTAACATAAAATGGCATTAGTATCATTTGCAGTGTTGAGACAGCGGTATTCTGCACAACAGACACTGTAAAATCATGTCAGATGCATACAAGACAAAGGGAGTTAATTTATTTAGGGAAAAGAATCTTCAGAGCGAACATAAAAGAATGATATCTTTGTGACATTTGCAAATTTTGGCCTCATATTACGACAAAGGCATCCATTAAACAGATATTATGTATTTATTCATAGTTTAGAAGTGCTCACTTGTGTTGTCTTTTTCTTTTTCATTTCGCCCATTATATATGTGTCGGAGTGTGTGAAAAGTATCTTTAAAACCCGGATACCCACTCTTAGCATATATATACATATATATACATTTATATATAAATATATATAGGGTAAGGATCAAATAAAAAGAAGTCTTAATGCTAAAATGTGAATGATTTCCGTGCATTGGATTTGAGAACTGATGACTCTAAAAGTGCCAACAATGTATCCAATTTCGTTAAAATAACAGAGGCATTTTCATGAATAAGTGAACGTTTTTTGCCATCATGAAAAAGTGCATTATTGGAATCGGAAAGTGCACGGTGGAGAAGTAAAAGTGAAATTTTTTCACTTTTCACGTTAAGCACCCTTTTTATTCAAACCGCACCCTATATATATATATATATAGAGAGAGAGAGAGAGAGAGGAATGTTCAGGTCCGAACATTCCCCGTCCGAGCACCATCCGAACATCCTCGTTTGGGGCGCTTCCCGGTAGAATTTTTTTATGAAATTTTTTGAGCATGTTCCTCATCAAGTCTAGTTTGTCCATATAAGAAATAGAGCAAGGTAGAAGAAGAAAGTGAAATCATCTTATTGAAAATAGAAAGGGTACAGAATATTTATAGAAGCTATAGTTGTAACTAACTGCACCTGATATAACAGAAGCCCAACTAATCCTAATTACAAAGTAATGTACGTGTAGCTTTATGTACTATTCCTAACATTCCCCCTCAAATTGAGGGTGATTGAATTGGAAAATCAATCACACTCAGTTTGCCTTTGAACTCAAGAAAGGTGGAAGCAGATAGAGGCTTGCTCAACACATCTGCAATTTGTTGGGAAGCTGGAATGTGAAAGACTTCAAGTTGTTTGAGATGAACTTTCTCTCTGACAAAGAAAAGATCAATTTCCATGTGTTTTATGCGAGAATGTAGGACAGGATTGTGAGCTAGCTGAACAGTGCTGAGATTTTCACAGTAAATTCTTGGAGTGATAAAAGGAGCTTGAAGTTCTTTGAGTAGAAATTGAACCCATAAAAGTTCTGATGTAGTATCTGCTAGGCTTCTGTATTCAGCTTCAGCTGAAGAGATCTTGCTACCCTCAGTTGTTTCTTAGAGACCTAGACCACCAGGAGATAATATTAGAGCTTAGGGAAATGCATGACCCAGAAGTAGATTTTCTATCTGTAGGATCTGATGCCCAGTCAGCATCACAAAAAGCTGAGATTGGTAGAGGTATTTTTGTCAAGGGAAGAGGTTTGATGATCAGTCCATGAGTAATAGTTCCAGATAGATATCTCAGTATATGTTTCACAGCTTTCCAGTGTTCTTGTAAAGGATTAGCCATGAACTGACACACCTTATTTACAGAATAGCTAAGTTCAGGTCTGGTTAGGGTAGCATACTGTAGAATTCCAACAACAGATCTGTAATGAGATGGATCAGGAAGAGGGTCACTCCCTTCATTGGTGAGCTTACAGGTACTCACCATAGGTGTTTTCACACCCTTAGAATCTGTCATTCCGACTTTGTGAAGAAGATCTCTGATGTATTTTGCTTGTGAGAGGTGCAGACAACCATTAGGAAGCTTTTTGACTTGGATTCCTAAAAGAAATCAATATCTCCCAGGTGTTTGAGAGAAAAGGCACAGTGAAGGGTTTGAATGATGTGTTGGATAACTGTGGAATTATTTCCAATGACAAGAATGTCATCAACATAGATGAGGATGTAAATTTGGATCCCAGGTTTGAGGTATATAAGAAGAGAAGGATCACTCTTGTTCTGTTTGAAACCAGCATTGTATAAGACTGAAGTGAGCTTGTGAAACCAAGCCCTTGGAGCTTGTTTGAGGCCATATAAAGATTTATGTAGTCTGCAAACAAGGGAAGTATCTTTAGCTTGAAAACCAGGAGGTTGTGACATGTAGACCTCTTCCTCAAGGTCCCCATCGAGGAAGGCATTATTTACATCAAGTTGCTGTATATTGGTGAGAGACAGTAAGTGTAAGCAAAATTCTGATTGTGACAGGTTTGACTACTGGAGAAAATGTTTCTCCAAAGTCAAATCCAAACCTCTGATGAAACCCTTTTACCACCAATCTGGCTTTGAACTTATTCACAGAACCATCAGGATTTTCCTTTACTCTGAATACCCATTTGCAGCCAATGACCTGTTTGCCTGGAGGAAGAGTGACTAGAGATCAAGTTTTGTTAGATATCAAAGCATTATATTCAGATTGCATGGCTGCAAGCCAAGGTGGAGAAGAAAGAGCTTGCTTAACTGATTTGGGCTCTATATGGGTCAACAGTAAAGTTGGATTAAGTCTAGGCTTAACAATCCCAGATTATGACCTTGTTTGCATTGGATGAGAGTTATGGGGAGGACTTGGGAATGTAGAAGAGGAGGAATCAAAGGATGATGGAGAGTGAGAGTTGTCAGATGTGTCATTGTGGTGGTTAGAACAAGTTGAGTCATTAGAAGATTGATGATGATTATGTGTGGTAGTATTATCCTGAGGTGTAGTGGATGAAGAAGTGTGTAAGGAAGAGGAACTGGAAGGAAGAATTTTTATTGGAGCTGAGAGGGAAACTGGAACACTAGTGGATGAAGTGGATGTAGAGGGAAAAAGAGTGGGATAAGGAAATCTGGTTTCATTAAAAATGACATCCCTGGAAAGATAAATTATGCCCCAGGGAGAAAGACATTTGTAACCTTTATGATGAGATGAGTATCCCAGAAAAACACATTCCTTAGAGTGATAATCCATTTTATGTTTGTTGTAAGGTCTAATGAATGGATAGCAAGAGCAACCAAAGACGTTGAGAAAATTGTAATCAGGAAGGGTACCATAAAGCTTGAAGTGAGGGCTGAGATTGGCAATAGATTTAGATGGAAGTTTCTTGATAAGATGTACTGCAGTAGCAAATGCAGTGTCCCAGAATTTGAATGGTAGAGAGGAATGAGCTAAAAGACATAGACCTTTTTCAACAATGGTGTGATGTTTCCTCTCTACAACACCATTTTGATGATGTGTATGAGGACATATAACTCTATGATTGATACCCTTATCAGTCAGAAAATTAGTGAATGACCTGAATTCTCCTCCCCAATCAGATTGTATGGACTTGATAGAAATATGGAATTGATTTAAGATGTGTTGCTCCAGAGTCTGGGAACCAATTTTGTGTATTTGGAGCTGGTCCAACTATAGATGAATTTGCAGAAGCCCAAGCTGCAGTTGGCACAATTGATGATGAACTGAACTGTGAAGGATGATTAGGTGATGGAGTATAAGATGGTTGTACCAAATTGAATTGTGATTGATGGGTTGGGTTGGGTGAATATTTTGTTGTGGTTGAAGGAGATGATTGGTATTGGTATTGATTTGGATATGAATGTGGTGTAGGAAAAAGAGACTGTTGAGGTTGGTAAGGCTGATTTGAGTAAGGAAAAGGAGACTGTTGAGGTTGGTAAGGCTGATTTGAGTAAGGAAAAGGAGATTGATGCATAGTAGAAGGATTAGGACTGGAGATGATATAGGCTGGATTGTATCTGTGATGGCACACAATGGCACTGTGACCATTTTTACCACAAACTTGACAAGTTACAGAGCTTCTACCACCTGAACGACCACCTCTGCCTCTATTAAAACCTCCACGACCTCTTCCTCTATAGGAGGAATTATCTGTAGAAGTGTCAAACTGAGCAATTTGAGCTGAGGCATTCTCTGAAGTATTCTGAATTTCAGTTTCAGTAGTAGGAGAAGTAGTTTCAACTCGCGCAATATTAGCAGAAAAGAGTGTTTGCTGTGAGGAGTCACGTAGTTTTCTCAGTCGTAATTCCTTGGCCAACAGAAGGCCTTCAAGTTCAGATATAGTAACTGGATCTAAAATACTTCGCGAGGTGACAGATGATATAAGTGATTCATAATCCTCGGGAAGACCTTCAAGGATCACATTGATATGATCCTCGGTGGATATAGGCTCACCGACAGATGTTAGGTTATCCACAATGGTCTGAATACGAACTAGATTTGATGAGGAACATGCTCAAAAAAATTCATCAAAAAATTCCACCAGGAAGGGCCCCAAACAAGGATGTTCGGACGGTGCTCGGACGGGGAATGCTCAGACCTGAACATTCCTCTCTCTCTCTCTCTCTCTCTCTCTCTCTCTATATATATATATATATATATATATATATATATATATATAAATTAAACTTTGTTACATCACATTGCATGTTGTGAACTCCTTTCCCGGCTGTGTAAACAATATACATGACAGAATAGAAACTATAGCAGAAAGATACTCTCTGAGGGTTGATCCCAGCTGCTGCCACATAGAGATCCAGCTTCCCAATTGCAATACCAATTCCCTGAACTCCAAGGTCTCCAAGCCCCAATATTCTACTTCCATCAGTTACGACAATCATATCAACCTACATGCAAGGTTGAATATCTACAATGATTACCTTTGTGTCGAGAGAATCCATTTGTCTTAGATTTCATTACCAAAGGTTCTAATGCATGAATGATGTGCAGTAATGTGCTAAGTGGACTACTTTGCAATAATTATCATTCCAACAGAGGAACTTATTTCCGAAATAGTGAAATAAAAAATACCAGACTTTCCCCCTTCCTAAGATAGTCTGATCGGTCCCATTTATCATTTTATTAAATAGTTGAAGAGTCAATCAGGCAATAAACTCAGACATTCATTTCTTTCAAGTGTTTCAGAATTAAAAAAATAAACAATGTGCCAAAAATTCGATATTCTCTACATTAGGAAGAACTTGAACTTCCGCGTTTCTAAATAAGAATATATTTTGAATGAAAACCAGTTGAAAGCAATGAAATATCAATGCTTCCTAGATTTCAAAATTTCTTCTTTTCCATAAATTAAGCTTCCATGTAGAAACCTGCTCAGCAGGCCAGTTGTAGACCATTGACATCATCTCCCCACGATCTGCAGCACTGAAATACATGCCCCTTGGACGACGGAATAACCCACAGTACTTCTGGCAAACAAGACCAACTGTAGGTGTATAAACTATAGGTGCATATTCCTCGATGTTTTCAATTAAAACCTGCCACTCACCACAAAAACAATCAAACTTCAACTCAAACTCAAATGAAGTAATGAAGATAGTCTCTCATCATCCCTCATATGATAGTTAATATGTTCAATGTACAGATTGTTAAAAGTTTTGTTGTAAAGAAAGGACACCATAAGTTTAATGAATCTTCCAATGCCTCTTCCACTAGGTTTTATACAGTTTTAAAGAGTGAATTGATAGGAATAGTTAAAGTGTGCAGGCCTATGTGCTCATTTGGAAAAGCAAGGGAGAGAGCATGAAGATTAGGGACACTTAGTCCATTCAAAACCTTTAATTACTAAAAAGGGAAAGTGGACAACTGTTTAATAACATCCTTAGAAAGTTAGAAGGAAAGAGGAACAAATATTGAAAGACAAAGGGGGTATTTGATACATCCAATTGACAGAGCTTTTTCAATATGTTGTCTTAAATATGATGAGAATAAACTGGAAAAGATGTCCGAGACAAAATAATACTGATAATTTGCATGTCATCAAGCCATTAATTCCAACATGATCACATATATGCATCATATGCCCCTTCTAAGGAGACTGAATAAATATATAAAAGCAGTGCACAATTCCACATTCAAGGGGTAGTAAGCACACCAGCAATATGTAAAGACTAAAGAGACACAACCATGATAAAAAGATTAAGATAAACAAGGAAACACAATCTTAAAAATACGTTATATAATGCTTCATTCACCGACCTTATAATACAATGTCTCATTTCTGTCATGCAAGCGATTGAGTATACGCCACTTGGCCAAAGCATTTGGATCAGATGGACCATCTCTAGTTTGGATTTGAAGTCTCTTTAGGTCAGTCACTGTAGTTTACAGAAAAAATGATGATCTTGAGTTACTAAAAAGTGAAAACAGAGCTCATAAGTAAATGAATCCAAAAATACATGGCACACTGAATTCACAAAAGCAGAATGCCAACCATTAATATATCCTGGTTATTCTAATTTAATCTTTCAAAGCATAAAAGAAAACTAGCCCTTTTTCCAAAAAAAATAGCCCTATTTGGGATAAGGTGATAGAATGATCTGAAAGAAACTGGATGTCTGGATCGGTGGATGCTGTAAACATAATAAGCTTACACATATTCACATAGAAGTATAGAACTAAAGTTTTTTCATTCGGAAGTATTCCGCTTATAGATGTAAATTGGTGACCGTCACTCAAGCAGCACTATGAGTCTATCAGTGTCATAATTTTGGAAATAATCTTCATAAGCAGAGTTTGTGAGAATTACAGAATTGTCACAGAGTACTAGGGACTCACTGAATCGACCAATTTGCTGTTCAAAAGACATGACATTTGGAGGCAAAAGCCCTCGTAGATGAAGACGGTCACGTTCTGTCTCTGAGAAGGCAGTTCCCTAGGATACATACAATTTACTGAAGCTTGTAAAACAGTCATACTTATAGAGAACTTTCTGTTTATATTTAAAACAAATAGTAATAGTACTTGTAATGTGTAATGCACTTTAATATGTTCTCAAATGGATGATGAAGAAAAATGATGGCCTTCTCACGCTATAAATGCTTCATACACCAAGTGGTTCAGCATTGGTAGTTAACAACATGGGGGGTTACACCGAGTGATATCAAATCACGCAATGGTACTCTAAAAACAAGCTCAGTTGAGTCATGCATTCATGTAGTTGATAAAGAATGTATATCAAGTGAAGGAAACATTTAAGTCATGGCTTGCCAAAACACTTTTTTCCCACATTTATTGCATAACTTATCAACCTGCTGATTACTTAGCTGGCTTGCCATAATCAGCTATGTATTTGTATGACATAAATGTCTTTCTTTTAAACTCTAAGTGTATCTGGTATTCTACTTATGGCAAATGGGTCAAACCCCATATATTTCCTGGTGATACAAAAAAAATCTTCTTTCTGCATTCTAAACAGTTAAGTAGTCAAATACAAATAGAGTACATTGTTTGTCATCCTAACTTCTAATAAAGCTACAAAGTTTTCATTCTGTGATATACCAGCAACACTTGAGAGCCTGCTGGCTGCACTAATATCTCCCAAACTTGAAAGCATGCATGAACTAGCAGGACTGTGGACTTGAAAGCATTCATGTGGTCGATAAACAATGTATATCAAGTGAAGTAAACATTTAGTTCATGGCTTGGCATAACACTTTTTTCCCTGCACAGTTAAATATCTCAATATCCCATGTTTATTGCATAACTTATCAACCTGCTGATTACTTAGCTACTTGCCATAATCAGCTATGTATTTGTATGACATAAATGTCTTTCTTTTAAACTCAAGTGTATCTGGTATTCACATATGGCAAATGGGTCAAACCCCATATACTTGCTGCTGACACACAAAAAAAATACTGCGTACTTCTTTTTGCATTCTAAGCAGTCAAGTAGTCAAATACAAATAGAGTACATTGTTCGTCATCCTAACTTCTAATAAAGCTACAAAATTTGCATTGTGTGATATATCAGCCACACTTAAGAGCATGTTGCCTGCATTAAAATCTCCCAAACTTGAAAGCGTGCATGATTTAACTGGACTGTGGACATGAGCAATTAAAGATAGCCTTGGTCATTCGCACAGCAGAAACTCAATAAACCCATAATTACCCCTAAGGCATTCTTTTCACTATGTCAGTAATTGAAAAAATTGCTAAACAGAGTGGTAGTGTCTGTGTTAAGCAGTATTGATAGCAGGAAATTCTTAAGACATAAATTATTATAACAGAAAAGTTAATTTCTTTTTCTAATTCCTTCACCAAATGATTCATTAAATGAGCTCTTAATCATTAACAAATTAATTATTTCATTGAAACCGTCGAGAATATTCTCATGTACTCATTTTTCTAGTAGTAAATTTGTAATGTAAGTCTTTTTACAATTTTTCACAGTACTGTCAAAACGGGCGGGCTCTAGTGACTTCTCCCGTTTTAAAATTACATTCTTCGACGATTCTTTTCAAGCTTACTGATTATTCATAAATCCTTCACAACTGTACTATTTGGCTAATCAATTACAGTGGAATTCCTGTATAAGCGTGCTTTCTCTTCATACTTGTATATTAACCGTTACCGTTGCATCAATATATGCATAAAGTCAAATCTGAAATACTTGATCCGTAAAGCAAAGGTCGCTGATTGATTGAAGTTATTATGTGTATAAGGGAACATGTCAAAGGGACGGTTTATTTACCTTATTAAACCAAGGATCATGAAGAATGTCGAGGCTGCGTTTGTGGACGATGGTGGGGCGATGACCTTCCATCGTTGTGAACCCTCGGGAAGCGTTTCGATTCGCATCAGTAATTCTCTGCATCGACTGCCATCTCCTCAGAAAGAATGAAGAAAGCCTCATCTTCCTATAGAAGCTATTGCAATCGTTCAGCTGAGTGGAGAAAAGTCCCTGGAAGAATCTCACTCAAATAGGCTTGAACGTTGTGCTTGAACGTTTATAGTCTTTCTCTGTTGTTATATTGTCAGAAAGAATCTACCAAAAAAAGTAGGCTTTCTCGTCAATCACAGAAGGAATTTACCCAAAAGAGTAAAACAAATGTCATACAGTACAGAGTAGCCCCTTAAATTAAATTTTGTTTTTATTTTTCCCTTTTTTATTGTTTTACAAATTTTGCAACTTTCAATTATTTTTCCCTTTTTTACCTTTTTATTATTCATGTTACATTATCTCACTTTTCAACGATTCTCAATTATACAGATTTTACTTTATTATTTTTTATGTTTTTTAAATTTGGTAAAGTTTTAACGAACGGAGGAAATAAATAAATAAATAAATAAATAAATAGTAGTAATTAATACTCCATCCGTCCCGAAATGAACTTCCCGCTTTCCTTATTTGGCTGTCCCATAAAGAACTTCCCATTTCCCAAAATGGAAATAAATTGTAGCTGAAATGGCTCAAATACCCTCCCCATTTACCCCAACCCGTTACCCGCACTCCCACTTACCAGTTACCCCAACCCCTTAATCGAAATCCACCCACCCTCCCCATCTCCTCTATCAAACGACTCCCCTTCTCTCTCTCTAGACCTTTCATCTTCTTCTTTGTGCGTATGGAATCGAAGTCATTCACCCTTTCCCATAGATGAAAGTCTCCTTGCCTCCGGCTCATCTGCTGATTCGAACATTTGTCCAACCCTAGCCCTTTCCGATGCACACCCACATTTGTCCAACCCTAGCCCATCTGATTTCCACGAAGGACTGGTCACTGATTCTGAAGATGGTCCTATCCTAGCCACCGCCGATGAAGATGAATCTGAGGTTGCATGTGGGTGGACATCAACGGAAACGGATCCGAGTTGGGCGCTAAGAAAGAGGTTTGGCTCCCAGTTCGATGACAGTTCTCAATTGGTGGAAGAAGGAGAGAAGGTGAACTCGTTTGATTGTTTTTTTCCAGATCCACATGCAGACATATTTCGGGACTCGCCATAGGGGAAGTATCTTTAGCTCATGTAGTTCATTTATGAAGTTTATGGCATTGCATGTCCTTTTCTGATTATCTGTAATGCTTGGAATGAACTTCATGTTACTTTTGACATGTGCTTCCCACTTTGAATAAGTGTAGGAGGCTATGTCAGTTTCTGTATTGGGATATGCTTATTTCATTCTTTGTACTGATGATGATGGACCTTGTGTGTTTATTTGATTCCTTGAAGTCATGATGTGTGTTGATAATGAGTGTTTACATTTTGCTTCCCACTTACAATAAGTGTAGGAGGCAATGTGATAATGATGGACCTTGTGTACTGATAATGAGTGTTTACATTTTGCTTCCCACTTACAATAAGTGTAGGAGGCAATGTGATAATGATGGACCTTGTGTACTGATAATGAGTGTTTACATTTTGCTTCCCACTTACTCTCTCCGTCCCGCAATGAACTTCACACTTTGACCCTCACACATTTTTATGCAAAAGTTAAAATGAAGTTGACTTTCCTAAACTGCAGGAGGCAATGCGAATCGGATTATGTGCCTTGTATGCTTATTTGACTCCTTATATACTGATGATGGTGGGGCTTGTGTGCTTATTTGATTCCTTGTACAAATGATGAATGCAGCTTGTGTGCTTAACCTACGGGCCAAACTGATGATGGGTTATGTGCCTTAAAACTTAGGCTGCAATACAAACTTTAAACATGTGCCACCCACTTTAATTTTGTGTTGGAGGCTATGTGAAAACTGTTTGCTACCTATTGTGCTTGTCAATGTCTCTGAATATGTGTGGATAGATAGTTACATTTGACTTTATACCAAACATGTGTGTCTTACAAATAATTTCACAATTCCTTGTACATTGCCCCTACATTCCAACATTGTAGGCTTGGCATTTAAGACAGTACACACAAAAAATCTGTCCCAGTACACTACCCCTACATTACAACAATGTAGGCTTGGCATGAACAAACAAAAAAGCTGTCCTAGTACACTGGGTACATACAAAAAAGTAGTGGGTAATCTAAGTTCATTCTTGAAGATCAGCTTGATCTTCACTTATGAACTCAGTTGCAATTGCTTCTGCCTGCATTTGTGTTTCTGGCCCTGCTTGCATCTGTAACAATGTGGCTTTTGCTTGCTCCACCAACTCAGGATTGATATCCATATTTTGTGGTAACATCCCCTGTCTATCAAGCTTGCCTTTCCCAATGTGTTTGAGCTTAAATTGATTTCCACCTTTGTGTATCAGTACTTGTTCCATGACACACTGATAACTTAACCAAACTTTGTTTAAAGTGTAAGCTGTGAGATCATCATAAGCAGTTTTCACAGCTTCAGTTAATTGAACAATTGTTTTTGGGGTTTTCTGTTCCTTCACTGAGTCAATTGCACGAAAAACCCCAGGTCTAAGACATTAAGGTCTGGGCTGTTTGGTGGCTGAAAAGTCAGCTTTATATTCCACCCATCTTTAGTTGCACACTCCACAAAATCTGCATCATTCACATCAATATGTGGCCTTGCATTATCTTGTTGAAAGGTGATGTTCCTGTTTTATGCATCTGGCCATGTTTGTTTGATTGCTGGTAAGACTTTGTGTAACATCATGTCCTTTATGACACTTCTGGTTACACTTAATGTGGCTTTTGTCTCCATTGTGCCTGCTGGTCTATTTTTACTAGCTCTCTTTGCTTTTTCCTCATAAGTGAATGGAAAGATACCAATCTTTCCATCCCATAGCACTGCCCCATTGTACCCAAACCTAGGCCTACCTACAACTGCTAAAAACATCACTTTAGGGATAAATTTTTTGGATTGAGCAGATCTGTAGGGGTCTACCTCACTTGGATGGGTGTAGTATGTTGTGGTTTCTTTAGATAAAAAGAACCATTTTTCATCAATGTGAATGTGATCAAAGAAATGATGAAAAATGGACTTTTCTGGGAAAGGCCTAGGCACAATATGAGATAGACAGAATTCCAACCTTTTCACCTTTCCAGCATGTGTAAGTAATGGCTTGATGGCATTTGAATGCCTCTTTATTTTCTTATCTTTGACTAATCTGTGTACAGAGGACTTGGAGATGTTCAGGGCATATCCCAATGCTCTGATGTTCTTTCTTTGATGCAGTGGAATGTCTTTTAACTTATCCAAGTCAAAAGCAACTCTTTTTCTTCCCACGTTGCCCTTACATTGGCTTTGCACATTAATAGGCACCCCATCATTCAGTTGGCTTGTAGCTTTCGCCCACACTGTGTGTACAGTACGCCTAGAACACTTGAACTGTGTGGCCGTTTGTCCAACAATGCCCCTCTGAAGTTTTCCTATGTTCACTTTAGCTAAAAGAAATTCCACCATTCTTGTTTTCTATGAATTACTTAGTTTTGGACATTTCCTTGGTCCGCCTCGATTGCCTTCTTCTATCTGTGTTGCAGGTATAGATGGAGTAGCAGGAGCAGGAAGATCCATCGGAATAGTAAATGCTAGGGGAGAGGTAGTTGTGCTGTATTTAAGGGTTGTTTTTTGGGGTTTTGGGAGGAAACTTTGAAAGTTTTGTTGTTGAAGTGTAATCAAGCCCCCAAAATTTTGGAGGGATTATTTGTTGCTCCCATTCTTGTACGCCACTTATGTGTAAAAGTAGTAGAGGGACAAGATGGGTTACTGTAGAACCATCTTGTCATTGTACTTGTTGTAAAGTTTTTACCCCCTTCTTTGATGCTTTTACCATATGAATTACCCTGTTTTTTGTTTTAATTGCTTTATGGGTCAGCCGAATGGTGGGAAGTATGGGGTAAATTTGGGAAAGTCAACTACATTTTAACTTTTGCATAAAAATGTGTGAGAGTCAAAGTGTGAAGATCATTGCGGGACGGAGGGAGTAATAATAATCTCAACTATTGCTGATTTGCTCACATTAATATCAACTATTGATTATTTTTATATAATCCCAATTATATAAAAAAAATTGGCAGGTTTGCCAATAATAGTGCATGACTCGATATAACCTGTTATAACATATCACTTTTAAATAGAAACTTAGTGTATTATATAAATAATACTCCCTCCGTCCCCCAATTAAGTTCCCCCTTTCCTATGTGGGTAGTCCATAAATTAAGTACACCTTTCCTTATTTGGCAAATTAACTACATCAAAACAGTGTCAAACAGTGCAAAACAATGTCCAGACAATGTTCAAACAGTGTCAAAACAGTAAAGTTTACCCCCCAGTAAAAAAAATTCCTCAATAAGTGTGAAAAGCAATGGGGAATTACTTGGGTGACGGAGAGAGTATGAACTATGCTCGATGGTTCTTCTTTTACTAATCATTTTCGTATGAAAAATGTGTTGTGTACACCTTTGGTGTTCCACAGACAACTCGTCTGCTGGGAACAGACGTGTGTACACAAAAGGTGTACACCATGCAAAGTTGTTTTCGTATTAACTCATTTCTTTACAAAAAGTAGATTTTTATATTACAAAAAATTGAATTTAATAATATGAAAGTTTTACTAAATATAAAAACTTATTGCATTTTTAAAAATGAAAATATTACATGATTTTCACCAACCATATTTAACATCTTTACTTTCTTAAGAGAGAATCAAACAATTCAGCTATATGGGGATGTTAGAGAAAATTAAACAAGGAGGTAAGAATTGTAATTATTATTGTTGTTCATGTTGGCAGATCAGGCTTAATCACATAAAAATTATTTTATTGAGCAATGATAATCAATACGAAGTTCTTACCGCTCTCGCGGCGTAGAAAACAATAATTATAGGAACCAGACTGATCTCTCATGCGACAGGTATCTAAATTATTGCCAAAACGAGCGAGCGTACGATTAAGTGTGTGTGAAGGTGTCCTAGAACAAATTTGACATCTCTTAATTTATTCTACAAGCAATTATAATCCTAGGTGCAGTTTTATGTTACAAGAGATCAATTAAATCATTCAAACATAAATTATATAAAGATTCATGAAATTAATCCATCAAGCAACTAGCCACACATCATGATCAACCCCTTCATCAATCTCAAATCCCTAATTAAAACTACTCACAATTCATAATTAAATGAACAATAGA